CACGTCGCTATATAAGTGCAATAATCTTGGACGCGACGTTAAACCCCATTTCATCTCACCTCACCTCTTGTGACCATAGCTGCTGCAGCGTGTTTGTGATACCAGACACAGACTCATGCAAGACAATGGCGTTGGCAGTTACGGGCACATGAGCTTCTTAAAATGATGAATTTTTAGAAATTGTTTAAATGAGGACAAGAGTTCACTTATTGCTTGTATATCAGTTACAACAGAAAAAAGCCAAAGGCATCACATCTCATTGCCGTGTCTTATGGTTTCAATAAAAGGCGGCATGTGTAATTCTTATATGTATATTAGTTTCTTTCTTCTTTGTATACTGATATGTTCAAAGTTTATTTTTTTCGGGATTAAATGTCGCTTAACTCCAAAAGTCAGCAATAATCCAGCTATATCACGGTGTAAGGAATCCTGTACGGAATCGTTTCTGGTCCAGACAAACTAGATTGGGAGTGTCAACGTGTCACCGAGTCTGTCACTTACTTATTTCTGTCGTCTCTTATGGCAAGCAGATGTTTCTAACAGTTTCACAAGAAAAGACGGATCTCCGACATTCTGATAAGTTTGTCACATTCTGTCTTACGGTACGCTGTTATGTGCATAGTTTTCATCTACCACGAACAATGATTCATGAGCCATAGCGGGTTCACCCGAAGTAAGTTCCTGCAGAAATCACCGACTATCTGGTAATGTGATTTATCCTGACGTACAGGAGTCGCTATCAATTGGTGATAATATAAATATAAGGCGTTCGTAAGAAGGTGAGTGTGCCATACAATGCTGTCAAACTTGCGTGATATAGTTCAAATCAACAATCGGTCATTCAACAAGCACATACACTATTACGTTGTATTATCGATATCATTTGACATGCCACATGTTTACAAAATCGATGGGAATGACACTTCACCATATAGAATAGGCGACTACCCTCAGTGGTAAAACATCACGTGGACCAATCAGAAGGCCGTTATTTGGAGGTATCTATATAAGTTGCCATCGATACTGAATCAGCGTCAGTTGCAAGTACACTCTGGGTCTCGCATCACAGTGACAATGAACGTCTTGGTTTCAACTGCTGTAGTTTGCTTGATTATCAGTGCGAACCTTGGTGGGAGCAGCTTAATTGGTTACATAAAGATTTAGAGCCCTGGTGAATCTAATAACAGCACAGGAACTGGAGTCCTCATATCATTTCTTGCATGCGAGCTTTTGACTAACGATACCGGTATAAGTTTCTGGTTTTTGTAACATTAGTAGTTGCTTCATAACAATGCATACCATGTGTCTCTTATATAATTACGGTTCAAATTCAAACTCAGAAACGCTGGGCGCCGTTTCTAATATCGCTTATCGATGTGAAGCTGAGTCTTTGAGCCACCCGGAAGTATTATCAGAACTGACTTGGGTGTCGCTGAGACAACCTGTTCACGCTTCACATCGCTCTCGCTTTTCGCATATTGACGATAGAGCGATAGTTAAGTCCAATGTCCCAGCGTTCATGTCATATATGACATGTGCGTGTGTCGTCACGTTTTCCTGTACCGAGAGAAGCCAGAAGCCCGTGACGGATTCCATAACTAACAGATCACCTCCGTGGTCTAGTGCATAGAGCGTCTGCGCGGAAACCGTACCAAAAGACACGGTACTTGTTGTTTTCCTGCCTGGCGCCCGGCATTAAGGGGATAAAACTAGGACTGTTCGGCCCGGAGTCTGTGTGGGGTATCCATGTTAAACAAAGTAGTGTCTCACTAGGTGTCTCATAAGGTAGGCTAGCACTATAAAACCAGCTCTAGTCCGAACTAGCGCAAACGGACACACACACGCACACAAGCATGCAGATCGCTTTATAAATGCAGTAATCTTGAAAGCGACTTTAAACCCAATTTTCACTAATAAGGCTTCAAACGTGCATCTCCCAACTTCTCTAGTGCGTAGGGATATCAAAATAGAGCCAGAGACTATGCCTATTTGGTGGTCGACGTCGTCAAACGTCCTCGTCCATTTCGCCTTATGTTACGAACTGTTCTCCCTTCTCTATAGAATGAAAATTTCAGCGAGTATTGTTTACATGGCTTCTCTGGCAGTGACACTGTCACAAACAGCCACTGAACACCAGGCCATTCGTCTAAACCACCTATCATAACGGCATTAAAGACAGATGTATGACATGCAACTGTAATGCCTGCGGATCATGTGATCTGGGTGATTAATGCTATCTGGTGACTAACAATGGAACACGTGCGTTCGTATGTGCCATTTATGTTCCTTCTTAACAAGTAGGTGTCACATGCAGAAGCCATCAAGTGAATGAGTGAGCGAGTTGATAAAAATGCTTCTCCAAACTCGATACCAATCGAAATGGATTCTTCACGCGAAAACACCATTACAACTCTTCTCAATGGTCGCTCTAATACCCGGATAAAACTCGAGGATGTATACTTGCTTTTATCAAAATCGTCTTTGATCAACCATCTAGACTCGAACTGTTTTTTCAGTCTAAAACACCATTACACTGCCATCACCACTATTCAAGGGTCGCCCCATCACCCCGTATGAACTATGAACATCTGTTTTTCTGCCATGCCTTTGAGACACCTGTCAATATTTGAACTGGTTTCGACCTGCCAGAACATCATTACATGATCTTGTTAATGTAATGAAGGTATGTGACACGGATCTGATATAAGACAGGTGTTTGTGTAGGGGTATCTTAGAAACCAGACAATCACCCAAATATATAATTTTTTATACCAATTTATTCCGTCTAAAATATATTACCACTACCCTACGTTTCATTAGAAATACCCCGTTACGAACTAATAAAGCAAAGTTAAACATCATTGTTTAAGTACTAGTTATGGATGTGGACTCACATGATCAACACTGAACTAAAGTTCATATGATCTAATCATCTGTATTATTTATGTTTAACGTAGTTCATTCATTTTAAGGATAATTGACACGTTTATGAACATGTAAGCTTTAGCTGTACTTTTGAAATATAGACGAATGTTAAATTAATCATTTTATTACGACAACCATCCCTTGTTCAGTGAAGCGTTAATATTAATTTCGGAAATAGCGGAACTAACCCTACCCTAAGGGGCCATGTTACATGTTGCACATCAACGTATTCTTCTTGATAAGTTGTGAAGTGGTGGATGACTTCAATGATGTTCATTTACATACATTTGAACAGGGGTTAGTACAGCATATATAAATGTAAGCTACATAAGATGTTGTTTTTATTTATTACAAATAAATACATGTTTCAACATCACATGCATGGTTCAACCGTTCTTGGTTATAAACAGAGAAACATTTCTCAAAGAAACATGACAATATGTGTCGTTCCACTCGTTTCAGAATTCGGCGGTATATGATTATCATTGAAGAGTAGCATACATGGGCTGAATTACCCGAACATGTTCTTGCAACAACATGAGAGCAATGTATTAGAAAAAAAATATATAGATAAAGACTTTATGTTTGTATGATCTTACTCGACACATATTGATATTGATTAGGGCGCACATTTTATTAGGAAAAGTTTCGACTTATTTTCCTTAGGAATACATATTATTAATCCCTGCTTTTGTCTTACTGATAAAGATTCGTTCCTATATGCATAATTAACAGACTTAAGCCAAAATTGTCCAATATCATTCCAAAAAAACTTTAAAAATTCTGTTGTGAAACCATCCGGGCCAGGACTTTTTTCATTTTTCATTCCTTTCAGTGCTTTCAGAGCTTCTTCATTAGTTATCTCCCCCTCTAATTGTAGGGAAATAGATTTTGGTAATTTTGTCACTTTATATCCCTCAAATAGTTTATCTAAATCTATTTGTGTACAATCTTCACTTGTGTATAATTTTTTTTATAAAATCTTTTTGTTTCGCCTAGAATTTCCTTCTGATTTTTTATTATATTTCCATCTGTTAACGGCTATTCACAAATTCCTATGTTCAAGGTGTACGAAATATTTACTAGGTTTAGTTCAATATATTCTTGATAGTCTCCATCAATATGCAAGGTCATGTTTCCCCAATACATGTTGTAGTGATCACTGACACCTCTTACCCGGAAATGGATTGTGTTGTAGAGCCATAGACAGTTTATCATGCTCATTTGATTGCTGATTCCAATGGATCCTGACTGCAACAGGGACTATCTAATTAACATATCTAATTTGCATACTTATGTCATTGGGGTATGACATTGATGTTTATGTGTCATAAGCTTATTTCATGAATAAATGCTTTAGTTAAATGATAAATATATTATTATAACACCATCACAATAAATGTGATGGAAATGTTAATACACGAGGAAAGACAATACTGACCAATCAATAACAGAATGTGTTTGGTATAGTCTGGCCTTAAGGCTAATAGTACAGATGATTAAATATATTTTTTGGCACATTGTGACAGAGTGCTTCAATTTACTTTGGCTTTGGAATTTCAACATATTTCTTTAAATAAAGAGCTTTTTGAAATAAAATGCTGTCATCATTTGTTGTGAGTAACGATACAATTGCAAACTTGTGCATGGTAGGATATTGATAATAATACGAGGGCAAATACCTTATCCTTAAGTTAGTGGAAACAAAAAGTGCATGGTACTCATAATCTAAGTCGTCTCTACAGAAATTACATAGACTATCAGCAAAATCATAGTCACTGGACAAATTTATGTATTTTAAAATCTTTTGAACATCTAAATGTTGTTAAAGCTCTTCTTAATCGATGATAGATATTTTTCCGGTTGTAATAAGGATTTGTGGGTGCACTATATATCTAGTCTTGGTGAATTAGATATACACTCTGACAATTCCTGCATAAACAAATCTCTTGTGTTCTGTCCTTAAATGTATAAAATATCAACTAACGCCCCAACAAATAATACACATATAGCAGCATAAACACTAAAATCACTTTGTGTAAACGAGTATGTGTACTCTACTGATGATGTTTTAGAATACATGGGATGTTACCGTGAAGACGGCAATAGGATGCTCGGTGCTGTTTGGCGTCAAGGGGACACAATGACCCATGGGTTGTGTTTCAAGCTGTGCTCCAGAGGTGGTCACAAGTATGCAGCATTGCAGGTAAGCCTTTATTAAGACCATTATGTGTGTGTGTGTGTGTGTTTTTGTGTGTGTGTGTGTGTGTTTTTGTGTGTGTGTGTGTGTTTGTGTGTGTGTGTGTGTTTTTGTGTGTGTGTGTGTGTTTTTGTGTGTGTGTGTGTGTGTGTGTGTGTGTGTGTGTGTGTGTGTGTGTGTGTGTGTGTGTGTGTGTGTGTGTGTGTGTGTGTGTGTGTGTGTGTGAGTTTGTGTGTGTGTTTTGTTTATTAAACGTAAAAATGCATCTGGCTGAATGCTTCACCCATCTCCAATCCCCGGGTCTGATGTTTTCCAGGAGTTACTAGCAGTCGCCCTTGAACAAGTTGATATTGTTACATTGATGTTAAATATTAATCTGTTTCCAAACCGTGACACTGACATTGAATTTGATATTTGAGCCTCGTGAAGGGGATATCTTAATATTTTAAAATGTTCTCTGGTTACGAGATGCAAAGTCATAGTTTTTCTGTTTCAGTTCTGCAGCTATTGCTTCTGTTGAGACTCTGATGTATTCCGGGAACTACACTAGTTTTAGCCCTTGGCCAAGAAGAGTTCTCTTGTTGTGTAAAGTAAAGTGATTATTTTCTCCGTTTTAGATCTCCAAGCAATGCTTCTTTGGAGATTCCATCAACATATTCAGATATCCAAAGAAACCGGAAAGTGACTGCAATCGACCTTGCAGGGGAAACACAAGTGAGATGTGTGGCGGGACTTGGAAAAATTCCCTTTACATGTTGTTCTAACAATAAAATCATCTGCCAATCAAACATTGAGCTTTTTACAATTCTATGTTAAATATATATATTATATTTGATTTGGAGTTTTATCTCTTTAAATCGAACATACAATAATGAATAATGTATATCTGTCACAATAGTATGCATCTGGGAAGGTGGCATGCAAAGATGTAAGCAGCACCATCATCACTATCTCCTGAACGGCCAAACATCTGACTAACGTACCACTTTATACACGTGTCAACGCGCATGTCATAATGTAAAATGGTGTGTTAAGAAAATGGTACAACAGACCGCTGTTACGCATGGATTACATCATGTTGAATAGTCCAGATTTCCTAAACGATATGTTCTCAACATTTTTCAAAAGGGATGTTGTTCAGAAGCTACATCCTTTTACATTGCGTTGTCCAGAGTGCAGTTAAGTCACTCTGTGACAATTGCCGCCCTCTTGAGAAAGACATGTCCTCATGTCGAGATAAGTCGCTGTTCATATGTTTAAATATGAAGGTGAAATTGTCAGTTATCATAATATTAAAAAGCATAATTATCCCGAATGCGAACGATCTGTTGCACTCTGGCCTGCATGTAGGCCACGTGGGCATCATATGGGGATTCTTCAAATGGTTTAGGCCCAGGTACACATTTTTCATTAGTGTCCAGGTATGCTACGGCGACACTGTAAAGCTTAGCCTCAGTGATCCAGGTGTTTTTGTGTTGGGTAGATTCTGCCATTTGATGAGAAATTCGGGTTTGTTATTCTTGACTCGCCGCTTAAGAACTCTTTCTGTAATTCGGGTAGAACTGGGTTGGTCAAGTGACGACTGTGTAGTTGTTTTAGATTTCAACACTGACGTTGCAGTTTCTATTTTAGTTGAGGTCTGAGAACCAACACTGGCAAACGAGACCGGGTTCGTCATGGCCCCAGGGTTAACTGATGGGGACTTCTCAGATTAACATGACGCATCACTGTACGTAGGTGTTGCCTTCTTGTTGATACACTTGGCAACTGTACTGACACTATTTACATTTAGGGTGCTCAGCGAGGGACATTCATCAGCATGGAGTTGGGCACATTTTCTCTTCATATAACTGTTATGGCGTTTCCTATCTCGCTCCATTTTGGCCCGGGACTTCATGGTTGACGACTTTATTATGACATTACTCACTGTGGCTGCAGGCTGTTTCCTCCATTTTAGGTTCACTTGAAGGTTGTCCATACTTTCTTGGATGGTCCATTCAAGATGAAGGTGCTGGAGATCCATGTTGATCAGGACGCTAGCGATTTCATGGGGTAGACACAGTACTTGGGGATTCATCCTCGATATATACACGTATGTAGATGGTAGGCAAGTGGAGAGGTTACGGGATCGGGAGTAAGCTCAAAAGTTACTCCAGCCGGATTCTAACACCAGTTGTCAACGCGCACGTGTGTTGACGGGGAAATTAGCTCAGATTGAAGACGAAGAATACATTGAGTCCAAACTTCTTTAGTCGGCAATAAAATAAATACAATTACTAATAGAAATATGTCGAGCGGAGATTCCAACTCAACAACTACATGTACAAGTGAAGTCCAGCAAGCAGGCGTATCCTACTCGCGGCTGTACATACAGGTGCTGTCGGAATACCAGACTGACTAACAGTAAATATGTAAACAGATATATACACTATTGGACAACAATAGACAGACAAAGAGACAATAGCGTTGCCCTGGACATGGGGCTTATGGATGTGATTACAGTCACGGCCTAGGGGAAAATTGATTAAGGCTATAAATGTCATAATGTAAAATGCTGTGTTAAGAAAATGGTACAACTGACCGCTGTTACGCATGGATTACATCATGTTGAATAGTCCAGATTTCATAAACGATATGTTCTCAACATTCTTCAAAAGGGATGCTGTTCAGAAGCTACAATTTTTACATTGCGTTTGGATATAGTGCATACATGATCTCTCCAGATTCAAAAACGTTTTGGAATTCAGCAAATCAGTCGAGCTCAGACTTCAGTAATAACAGATAACAGATGCTACTGTGTTCGTCGACCCGTGAGGATCCGGGGTAAAATAGGTCTTCAGCAACCCAGGCTTGTCGTAAAAGTCGACTAGGGTTGTCGTAAGAGGCGACTAAAGGGATCGGGTGGTCAGGCTCGCTGCCTTGGTTGATGCATGTCATCGATCCAAATTGCGTGGATCGATGCTCATGATATCAATCACTGGATTGTCTGGACTCGTCTATGTACAGACCGCCGTCACATAGCTGGAATATTGCTGAATGCGGCTTTAAACAACAAACCAACCAACCGACTACTGTGTTCGTCTATGGCCAATATGTTTATTGCAGATGGCATTAAAGTAGCCCTGAAACAGTTCCACAATATAACAGATGTAAAACAATATACTACAAAGATATCTATACACATCACTTCATAAACATACTGACCGCCGACGTGGTCTAGTGGTAGAGCGTCCGCCCAGAGAGCGGAAGGTCCGGGGTTCGATCCCCGGGCGCGTCACACCAAAAGACGTTAAAAGATAGGGTACTTGTTGTTACCCTGTCTGGCGCTCGGCATTAAAAGAGCTAAAACAAGGGCTGATCTTCTCGGAGTCAGTATACTGTGTCTGAGTGGGGTATTCATGTTAAACTGCGGCATGGTATCGCAGTGTGCTAGCACTATAAATCGGCATCAGTCCCGACTGGTACAAGCAGCCACGCACAGGTGCACTATATCAGTGCAATAATCATGGGCGCGACGTTAAACCCAATTTCACATCACTTCATAAACATACTAACACAGAAGGTAGTATATATTGTAAATGCACCAATCTCATTAAAATCAGATCTTAGTTCTCGCTACCGTTAAACAAAGATCTGAAGACATCCCTTTAGGGGTCACGTCAGAACGACCTTTCATTAGACCAATCAATGCGTCGCTTACCAAATTATGAAAGTGACAGTCGGAATGTGATTTCTAATCATGCAATCTCGAAAACTTTAACATGGGGTATTCCGAACGATAGTTACGGGTTTAACGACTGAATCCTTACAATCTATACCATTCCAGAATGGTTTTTGTTTAGGTTTCAAATTTGTTATCGAGAAGCGTAGTCTCCAGTTTGAAATTTGTGTCGTAATGCAGGAGAAAGCTGCCTTCTGATTGGTCATTCCATTGGTCGGTCAAAGTTCGCGCAAGGTCGGTCTGACGTGACCCGCAATGGGATGTCCTCAGTTCTTTGTTTAGCGGTAGCGAGAACTAAGGTCTGATTTAAATGAGATTGTAAATGCACTGGCTATGGTTGTCAGTGTTTGATACTGTCAAGTTTACACATACTGTTTATGTGCAAGTAAATACATCATCATATACATATATATGTCAAAAGTAGTTCTGCCTCGATATATAACCAAATGCTTACACTAGATATACAATATGCACAGTTAATAATTTCATATTAACGCTACATAGAAACGATACAAAAGCGACATGTAAACCTACTAGGCGTGTGGGCCTTAGTTGATACCACACCTGTCGCGTATCCGTTATGGCCATAATTACTGATGTCGGTTTTAGAGTGTTAACCTACTGAGATACCATGCGGTAGTTTAACATGTTTAGGTGCAGGGAATGTGTCAAAACAAACTAAGTTTCACATACTCAAACCATTTAACACAGTATGATATAGGGATCATTTTCTAAGAGCAGTCAGCCAATCGGCAGCAACCTGTTGCATTTATATGCTCGTATTTGTCTACGTAATTGAGGTAGATAACCAATTTCAGACAGGTATGGTACATATTTACAAGTAACATACTTTACTATTTCACGTCATTAATATCCATTGTCATCATCCCCTAAAGACCGGGCGGCGTGCTGTAGTTATCTTTACCCTTTTAAATAGTGTTAAAATTAACATGATTTTGATATAAGGGATGTCAAAGTTTCACACGATACATATTAAATACGATACAATAAGAAGAATAAATACACATGTTAACATAAAAAACAAATATAGTGAAATAAAATTAATAATTAAGAAAAAGTAAAGGTTCAAATACTCACATACTCACAGACGACGAAACTGCCGATGTATTGGTCAGTGCAACTACTGACTTGTGCCCGAACTCCTGGCCAGTAAACATTTATTTCCTTTCCCATTTTTTTTATCCGACTGACAGAAGTAACTAAAACGGACATAAAATATTCACAACAACACATCCGTAAAACAGAACCAGTTTCCCTATGCCTGTGATCTGTGGTTGTCGTTCTCAACTCTTTAATGTGCGACTGTTCGTGACAGACCTAAGCTGTATTTAACTAAGAGGCTATGCAACTCTTCATGAAGGAAGTTAATGTTAGTTCAAGTAAATTTTACAACATGGTTTATTAAAGACTGGTTCCTTATTACCGTGAGAGTGGTTTTACGCCGCCTTTAGCAATATTCCAGCAATATCACGGCGGGGGACACCAAAAATAGGCTTCACACATTGCAGCAATGTGGAGAATCGAACCCGGGTCTTCGGCATGACGAGCAAACGCTTTAACCACAAAGCTATCCCAACGCCACCCCTTATTAGAGAGATGGAGGATAATGTGGCAGAGGTGTCACGTGCACTTGTTTGTATACACAACATGACTACGTCACACATAACAACACTGTGACGTCCAACTGCTGTAGTGATGGCAGCAGTGACATTTAAACCTAAACCTCGTTGTAAATGATGATTACATTCATTTTGCCTTTGTTTATTAAATTTATAATTGGGTGGTCAGGACCTATGACCCCGATGGCGCAAGACGTTCACCATGATATCAACCAATGGTATTACACAGATGTTGTAAGACACTGACCACAATGGCACATATCCGGTTCAGCTGGTTGGTATACATTGCGTCGACTCGTGTGACCAGTGACATCGGTTACTATGTCATGACATACGCTGATTTGCTTAACTAACTTGCCTGTACAAATTGCACATTTTTTTATACTTATCTGTTTTTTTCCCA